TGTGTATGAATGGGTATTTGTTAGGCCGAGACTCGGACTGCCCCCTCTTTGATACAACTGGGGGTGCTTGGCATCTCGCCCCTATCGCGCGGCCCCCTGGTGGGGTGTGCCTTTGCCTGCCGGCGCGCTTGGGGCCCTTGGTATCGGGGGCTGGGCGCTTGGGCATGTGTCGGCTCGGCCTGGTGTCTGCCTGGTGGGGCTCGGGTCCTCTGGCCCTGTCGGGCCTTGGCCTGGGTGGTGTGGGTCCTCGGTGCCCGGGCCTCGGTGCCTGGACCTGGACCTACATCGGTGCGGCGGGTGCCGACGGAGGCCTATGAGTTTGTCGCTGTTGGCCCCGGGGGGTCACTGTATGTGGTTGCTGGTGGGGATCTTCCGGTTTTCCCCTGTGGTCCGTTCTGGGGGGTGGGTGAGTGGTTCGTCCTGTGTGGGTGGCTCTGGGGGCTCTGCGGTCGGGGTCCCTCCTGGGGTCTTGGGCTCTGGTCCCCCCTTTTTCGTCTGCCTCTGGTCTTGGGGGTCGGGTCTCTGCTGCTTCACAGTTACTAATAAATGTTCTATTAGAGAAGCCTTATACACTTATGCATGCTCACAACCACACACAAATAGAAGCAGGGATGCTTATGTAGGCTTTAAATGTAGATATATAAATATGTATGTGAGTGTATATTCATGTCTATTTATGTATGTATGTATATAGGCGTAGGTATGGGTATATATATTTATGGAAACTTACTGCAAAGCCATGAATATTTTAAGTTCTTTATACATATGTATTTTGTTGCTGTGTTTTGTCATGTTCTTTGCAAGTGAACAGACAGTGGCCGGGTGTTTTGACGTGTGCTCTCTTTGTGTATATTTCTTATATTTTGGAGTCTTACTTTGTCTTTTCTTTCTTTCTATTCTATTTAAAAAAAAATAAAAAAATAAACAACAACACCTACACTAGATAGTCACTATAATAAATATTTCATAATAATGGTGTGGAGAGGATGGCTGTAAGGGGAGAAGGGAGGCCATCAAAGAAGAAAAAAAAAAAAAAAAAAAAAGAATTCGGTAAGCTAAAGATTTTGTTTTCATCCACACCCTTGCTGTGCCACCCTGATCCAAAGAGACAGTTCATCATAGAAGTAGACGCCTCAGACACAGGCGTCGGGGCATTTCTCTCCCAAAGAACCTCACTGGAGAACAAGGTGCACCCCTGTGCTTTCTCTTCTCGACGATTATCCCCTCCTGAACAAAACTACGATGTGGGGAACTGTGAATTGCTAGCAGTCAAATTAGCCTTGGAGGAGTGGAGGCACTGGCTGGAGGGTACTGAGGTTCCATTTGTAATATGGACTGACTACAAGAACCTCACCTATCTGCGGGACACTAAAAGACTAAACCCCAGACAAGCCCGTTGGTCTCTATTTTTCACTAGATTTAACTTTCTTCTCACTTTCAGACCTGGCACCAAGAACGTGAAGCCGGATGCCCTCTCCTGCCAGTTTTCTCCCCCTGAAGATCCTGAGAAGGAGGAGAACATCCTGTCTCCCTCCTGTGTCATTGGCTCCCTCACTTGGGCCATTGAGAGAGAGGTTTTGGAGGCCCAGGAGGCAGAACCTGACCCCAGAATGGGTTCTAATAACACTATGTTTGTCCCTCAGAGTATCAGGGCAAAGGTACTAGAATGGACTCACACTAACAAATTATCCTGTCATCCAGGTATCACTCGTATGCTCTCCCTGGTTAAGCAACATTTTTGGTGGCCGTCACTAAACCAGGATGTCGGGGAGTTTGTGGCTGCTTGCCCCACATGCGCCAGAAATAAGAGTAGCAATCAACCTCCTGCGGGTCAATTACAGCCCCTGCCTACTCCGAGTCATCCATGGTCACACATCTCTCTGGATTTTGTGACGGGATTACCTCCTTCAGAAGGTAATACCGTGATACTGTCATTGACAGATTTTCTAAGGCAGCCCACTTCATCCCCTTACCCAAGCTGTCATCAGCATTGGAAACTGCTCAACTCCTGGTTCAGCACATCTTTCGCATTCATGGAATCCCCACGGACGTGGTTTCTGATAGAGGTCCGCAGTTTATCTCCCAGGTATGGCGGAGTTTCTGTAACTCCCTAGGGGCATCGGTCGGTCAGTCTTACATCAGGGTACCACCCCCAATCAAATGGCCAAGCTGAACAATGTAATCAAAACTGGAAACTACTCTCAGATGCGTGGTAGAAAAGAATCCTGCTTGGAGCACACACCTGATTTGGGTCGAATATGCTCACAACAACCACACCTCCTCGGTTACAGGTATGTCACCTTTTGAGGCTTCCTTGGGCTACATGCCACCCCTGTTTCCTAGTCAAGAAGTCGACATCACAGTTCCCTCCGTGTAGCACCATTTCCGACGTTGTCGCAGGGTATGGCGGCAAACCAAGGCAGCCCTCCTATGCTCGGTAGCACAAAACAAGAGATTTGCCGACAAACATCGGTCCAGGGCTCCAGACTATAGGGTGGGCCAGAGGGTATGGCTGTCTACCCGAGACATCACCCTCAAATACATCCCCAGGAAATTGGTCCCACGTTTTATTGGGCCCTTCCCTATCATTCGCAACATGGAAACTGCTCAGCTGGGGCAGCTGTGGCTGAGTGGTTAGAGCAGTCGTCCTCCAATGTGAGAATTGGGGGTTCGAATCCACTAGCAGTCACATGCCGAATTGTCCCTGGGCAAGACACTGAACCCCTCATAGCCTCTGATGTGTGTCCCATCGGTGTATGAATGTGATCTAAAGCACTGATTAGTCTCATTAGAATGATTTGTTCAATTAGCTTTGTAGAGATCTAGTGCTGTGTGGATGGGTAAATGAGGCACAGATTGTAGTGTAAAGCGCTTTGAGTATCTTGAAATAAGATAGAAAAGCGCTATATAAATACAGTCCATTTAACATAAACCCCACTGCTGTTAGGTTACAACTGCCCACGTCCATGCGGATCCATCCAACTTTCCATGTTTCTCAGATAAAACCTGTCTCTGAGGGTCCTCTTTGCCTGAAAAAAAAAAGCTGATTCCCATTTAAAATGTTTCCTGGAGGATCTCTCTATTTTAGAGGTGTTTCAAGTCTTCAGATCTCTCCACAGCACTGAGACTGTTCTATTGAGTGTTTTAGTGATATAATGATTTAATGATGTAAAAGGCTGGTTGGCTGTGAACTTCTTAAAGTTTAATGAGGACAGACTGAGGTGATGGTCTTTGGAAGCTCCACTGAGACTCCCAATGTAGATGTTGGGTCCTTGGCCCAGTATATCAGGCCAACTTTTACAAACTTGGGTCAAAGTCGATGCTGGACTAAAGTTAAAAAATCATGCAGTTGTTAAATCTTTTTTTTCTATCTGAGGCAGCTGGCTAAAGTAAAGCTGATTCTTTGTCAGTGGCATTTTGAAACAGTAATCCACACCTTTGTGACCACTCAGCTGGATTACTGTAAAACACTCTATACAGGAATCAGTGACTCGTGTATCTCTCAGCTTCAGAGAGTACAGAACGCTACTGCACGGCTTTTAAGTGGCACATGAAAGTTTGACCACATTTCTCCTGTTTTAGCCTTCCTGCACTGGCTACCCGTACATTCCAGGATTCATTTTAAAATTATTTCATTTGCTTTTAAAACCTTTTTGGACATTCACTGACTGACCTCCTTTTCCTACAGTAAGAACTACTTCTCTGGACATTATACTGCCCTTGAGATTTCTCCTGGCCTGCTTTAACTTTGCTCCTTGCTCTCCAGGGTTCCAGCCTCTCCCTGGATAGTTACCTCACCAATATCATCGTTTTCACTTTTGTAAATAAAACACTGTTTAACCTTCCCTGGTCTTGAAGTCTGTTTGCTTTTGGTCAGTATTTATCTGGATGTTGCTAGAAACCTTACAAATGGGACTGCCTTCAAGTATATAATTACCCCATCTCCCTTAGTTTACACTCTTAACAGGGTTTTAAAATCCTATTGTGGTTAAAGTGCCAGATCCCATCTTGCAAAATGTTTAAGTAGTTACACATCAGGTTAGATCTTCTAGCTTGTCGGACAGATACTCACATGCACAGTGTGGGAGTCGAGATGTCCACACAGGCGTCCCCGGCTCACGGCCGTAACAGGTAATGGTGGCACCACCCTGCATAATGAAGCCAGGGTTACAACTGTACTGAATGGTTGTACCAACCAGGAGTTTAGGGTCAGACAGTGACCGGGTGGAGTGCTCCACATGGCCTGGATCTGAACAGTACATAACTGATGGAGAGATAACACACAGAATGAAGAATCTATGAGATATGAGTGAGTTTCTAAAAAATACATAAAATATATTGTTTTTTTGTCAAATATCTAATAAAAGAAACCTCCAGAATGAGTAAAATCACTTTATGAGTAAAAATATATTCGGCTGTCTTTTCTTTAATCACTTATTCCTAGGACCTGAATTACTTTGGTGCAGATAAATACAAACAGGTGTAAAAGATTTAAAATTGTAAGATGAAGTAAAACTGACTCTTTTCACAGAAGGGGGGCTGGGAGCTCCAGGAGAGTTCCAGCTGACAGGTGAGGGTCTCTCGTCCCACCAGGTCATAACCAGGATCACACTGGTAGGTGATCCGAGCTCCTCGTACAAGTGCAACATGAGACGTTGTCTTCCAGCCGTTCTGGATTTCAGGTAAGTCTGGACAGGAGTCATTACGGGACACCTCTGAGGAAAAACACAGTAACATGGTTCTTTAATGGCTTGATCAGAGTTGGGTGCTTCTGCGGGGGTTTGGCTGTAGCTAAACATTTTCCCCCCATCAGTCACTGTTAACAAAGGTGAAGAAGCCAACATGATTCTTACATGATGATTTTTTTGTTGAGATGATTGATGGATATTTGGTGCAATTACTTCACCGTATGACAGGATGATGGATGTCATCTGTGCTGGAACGTTTTGAGGTATCACCTCTTTGCTGTTTTGTCTCTGATAAGGACAGCCTGCTACTGTAGCTGCTATTTTGAGAATCTGCTCATTTTCTAATCACATTCCCACTGAAACATGTTCTACAAACTGCCATTTACTTGTGACGGGTGACAAGATCTACCACCATGATTAAGTTTTCTATGAGTTATTTGCTGGCAAGAGAAAATGCTACAACGTCTTTAGGCTAACAAAACCACCTCCTAAAATATCCTCACAGTCAAACCTTGATGCATCCTTAGTCCATCCATCCATCCATCCATCCATCCACCCATCCATCCATCTTATTTACCTGTTCAGGGTTTCAGTGAGAAACGCTATAAGTTGAAAGTAAACTAACATGACCATCAGTTTAGTCTAGAGAAAATTAGGAAATTAATATTTCTTCTATTGTTTATTCTCTTTTTAAAAGGTTTACTTTCTAAACACTAGACTCTAAAAGTAAAAGCATTATAAAATGTTGTAGTGTTCATCCAAACACAGTTGTTATTAGTGTAAGTTGGAAGGATTTTTTTTTTAATGTTTAACACCCAGGAAGAGAAATCACATGGCCAATGAAATGTAGTGCACGTATGTCACCAGAGACGATGGTACTCCCACTTAGGTAATGGCCCCTCCCCTGCCTTTTGGGGTGAGAAACTAAACAGTCATGCAGTAAGCATATGTCCAAATACAGGCAGGAAAACGGGGGGGGGGGGGGTAAACACCAAAGATTTTTCCGGTTTGCATTCGTTACAACAGATGATGGTGTTTGGATTAACACTGAAACTGTGAAGGCTCTGGACATTTTTGGGTTCTTTTGTACTTTGTACTGAGTTTTGATATGCTATTTGAGAGTTTTTCAGTTGTGTTGATTGTTACGTCATTTTGTCATTTTGCATCTCAGTTTTTCACTTATACAGCATCGTAAACGCCTGTGTCTCATCTCAGTACAAATGTTCTCAATCACTAATCACCCATCCCAGATAATTTAAGCTCACTTCACCTGGTGGCACATCCACCCACAGGTAAATATCAATTTAAGATGGTACATTATAAACTTGTCATGTAAGTCATGGAGGGATCAAGTTACATGCACTGACTCACAAAATGTATTGATCTTCACGGAAATAATGTCAACAACAATAATAATAACGTGAATAAGCTCAATAATTGAAATGATCTTGCTAACAGTCTTTTGTTTTGTGGTTTTACAGGTGCACTCCCAGTTATCCTCATTCTACTCAGTCCTGTGTTGGTGGACTCTCACTCCTGCTTCAGTCACCATAATTAGGCAGTGTCTTACCTGAGAGAAGATTGGCTGACTGAGCTAAAGGCTGGGGCCAATTTCAACTATTTTTATATGTGAATGTGAGGCCTATGTTTGTTTGTTTTTGTAATTCTTAAATATTATTCATATTTATTTTTGTATACTTAATTTTATATTTATGTTCCAGGTTGAAGGTGGCAGTCGAGTCTTGTGTAGGTTCTGTTCCACTCGTGTCTCGTGCATCACATAAAATACATCCTTTTGTCTTTTAGTTGACTGACCACTGGAAAGCCTCAGCCTTGGCTAAATATTTATTTTAAGAATCATTATTGCCTCCATTAGAATAGGTTAACTTAGTGTTAATAAAATTTATATTGTATCTTGGAACAGTCTCCTGCTTACTTGTAAACAAACCCAAGTGTCTTTTCTGTGTATAAATTATGTCCTTGGATGAAAGTCCTAAGGTGGTGTTGCAGTAAGTTTATAAAATAAAAATAACATCCATACCCAAGCTGATTACATATTGCTCTAGTGTTATGTAATTAGTTATTTAAAGGTTTTGAATTAATTTAAACATTCTTCAATTAAAACACTTGAGCAGCATACTGTACTGTTTATTTTTATTTTTATTAAATTTGTGGATTGAAGTTGTATTGAATGAAAAACAAGTGTAATTTACAATATCTAGTAAAAACAAACAAACAAACAAAAAAATTAAATATTTAACATTTTAACTGTACACTATGAATTGATAGTGGATTATAGATATTTTTCCCAAATTATGCAATTTCATTTTAAAGAACTTGGCACATTTATGTATTTTTCATGAGTAACAACTATTTACAGTATTTACAGTGATTCACACAGCTTAATACTGAATATTAAAAATATGAAGGAATAAAAGGGTGATTTGTACATTTTATGATTCTTACTGCATTGATATAAACACATGGATGAAGGTGTTGAAGTAAAACACGTCAGCAGACTCCTCCACACTTCTTCTGCAACATGGAAACAGCAGTAAGCCTTGGTTGTAGAAGCTGTACCCCTGCAGGACATCTGGACTGCTCCCTGGTTCTGGCCTCTGAGAAGACATTTCCAGTGACACTTGCAGAGACTGAAGATGTGTGGACACAAAACACATGTTGGGAAGACTGCAGCTTCAGAGGAAGAGCAGGGAAGTGTGGAGCCATGTGGTCCAGAATAATGCTACGCAGGACTTCTCAGGTGGGCACTGGTAAGACATCTGTGAGCCCTGTGGCACAGGCCCAAATCTGGATGGTACCAGCGCCACTGAACAGGAAGATGTTACTGTACGCTCTCAGTAGTACAGAAGTCCATCGTACGTCAAAGTTCTTTCAGCTGTCATAAATGAAGCATCTAGCTCTGACAACTACCTGTCCCTCGACTATATTTGACCTGTAGAAGTTAAGCACAATTTGAACATCAAGCATCATAGCATCTCATAACTAACATCTAGTATGTTTTCGTTCACAAATTGTAATGGCAAACACATATCAGAATGTTAAAATATCATTTAAAAGTTTATACCACGTCTGTCTCAAATATTCCAAATACTTTAGCACACTAAATTAGGCTTTATTACGATGGACATTCAAAAAAACAAAACAAAGCAAATCAACAAAAAATGTAGAAACGTTTCGTCTCTCATCCGAGAGACTTCCTCAGTCTGAGGAGCTGTATTCAGCTCAGTCTCTTAAATAGCACCGTCTCAGGGTGGATCAACCAGTTTTGCTGCTGACAACCAAAACCAGCTGATCACATGCTCAAGAAGGACCATCAGCATAACAATGGGTCATTAGCACCCTGATGGCTGTTTACTGTTCACAGAGGGCTGAGTGATACTAGCAATCACAGCATTGTAAGAGGGGGACAGTTGAACCCGGAGGCCTCCACCCCTGTTTAATGATGGACGATTTCTTTTCACAAAGATGGCCTCCTTTACTCCTCTCTCAAACCATCGTTCCTCTCTGTCCAGGATGTGAACATCTTCATCCCTGAAAGAGTGACAGCTGGCCTGGACATGAGTGTAGACCGCAGAGTCCTGGCTTGATGATGTTGATCTTCTGTGCTGGGCCATCCTTTTGGCCAGTGGCTGTTTTGTTTCCCCGATGTAAGACTGATCACAGCCCTCCTGACACTGAACAGCATACACAACATTGCTCTGTTTGTGCCGGGGGACTGGATCTTTGGGATGAACCAGTCTTTGCCGTAATGTATTTTGGGGTTTAAAAGCCACTGGGACGTTATGTTTAGAAAATAAACGTCTCAGTTTCTCTGATACTCCCTCAACATATGGAATGACCACTGGTCTGGGTCTGGGTTCCTCCTTTTCACCTGTTGGCTGACTGGAGTCCTGTTTGGGTTTCTTCTCTGCTTTCAGGAAGGCCCAGTTAGGATATCCACATTGCTCTAGAGCCTGTCTTGTGTGGGATTTCTCCTTCTGCCTGGCTCCTGAGCTAGTGGGGACGCTGTCTGCTCTGTGATACAGAGTCCTGATGACTCCTAACTTGTGCTCCAAAGGGTGATGGGAGTCAAACTGCAAATACTGGTCTGTGTGTGTGGGTTTGCGGTACACCTCAGTTTGCAAATGTCCTCTATCAGAGACTGAGACCTCACAGTCCAAGAAAGCCAACCTGTCATTTTTTACATCTTCTTGTGTGAACTTGATATATTTATCCACAGAGTTGATGTGGTCAGTAAAATGTTGGACTTCCTGAGATTTGATTTTAACCCAGGTGTCGTCAACATACCTGAACCAATGACTTGGTGGTGTCCCTGAAAAGGACGTCAAGGCTCTCTTTTCTACCTCCTCCATGTACAGGTTGGCAACAATAGGAGAAACTGGAGACCCCATAGCACACCCATGTTTCTGCCTATAATATTGCTCCCCATATGTGAAGTAGGTTGACTGCAGGCACAGTTTCAAGAGTTGACACAGTTGTTCTGTAGAAAGTGTGGTCCTGCTGCTCAGAGTGTGCTAATGATCCATTGTTATGCTGATGGTCCTTCTTGAGCATGTGATCAGCTGGTTTTGGTTGTCAGCAGCAAAACTGGTTGATCCACCCTGAGACGGTGCTATTTAAGAGACTGAGCTGAATACAGCTCCTCAGACTGAGGAAGTCTCTCGGATGAGAGACGAAACGTTTCTACATTTTTTGTTGATTTGCTTTGTTTTGTTTTTTTGAATGTCCAGAGGACCAGATTTAACTTTTTTAGATTTTTCTACCTGGATTATTGAGCATGCATCAGGATGCTTTATTACGATGTTTATGTACTTCATATGTGTCCTGTTATGTAATCTGTTGCTATGTGCTTGTTCTGTTTGTCCCTGTACAGCACTTTGGTGTGCTTTGTCACTGTTTAAAGTGCTTTATTAATAAATTGGTATGGTATGGTATGTTGTAGCTAACGGTTAGCTCGCTAAGCTACGTCTTTTCTTACCTTGATAGCTGTGGATATATTCTTCATG